CGGGCAATTTTCAAATTACAAATGTCATGCTGACCCTATTGGAGCAAAGGGGCTTCTTCACTGGAGCTCCTCATCAGAACACATACAAGCATCTAAAGGGTTTTGTAGACACATGCTGGGGGAGAAAGCAGACGAATGTGTCGGAGGACGCTCTGAGATTGAGACTTTTCCCATTTTCACTTAGAGGGAAACCTTTGGACTGGCTCGAGAGGCTACCCAACCACTCCATACACACATGGGATGAGTTGGCAGAAAATTTTACAACCAAGTTTTTCTCACCAGGTCATATGGCAATATTGAGGGATGAGATCTTAGCCTTTAAACAAGAACCTAATGAACCGCTACATGAAATCTGGGAGCGATACCGGACAATGGTCAAGGAATGCCCAAATAATGATATGACTGAAGAAATGATTCAGCAGACATTCTATTGGGGCATCAACACGGCCAACCTGTGTGTGGTGAATCAGCTAGCTGGGGGAAATTTTATGAAGACGCCTTATGCCGATGCTTGTAACATACTTGATGAGATGGCTGACACATCTTCAGCTTGGCAGAGTCAGGCAAATCTTCCTCAGGGTGACCCTAATGTCATCCATCTTCACAAGGAACTTCAAGATCACGGACAAGCCATAGCCGAGTTGACAACTACTATGAATCAGTTAGCAAAGGCCCAACTTCAGCAAGTTCAAGGGACAAAGCAAGTAAATGCCATGGAAGGGGTAAATGCCATGGTCAACAGGAGGAAACAACGTGGTCAACAAGAGCAAAACAATCAAGATCAATATGAGCAAAGTGGTAGTGGTGACAATCAAGACGATTCTTATGATGATCAAAGTGAGGAAGTGTTATATGCCAATAACTACCAAGGTCAGCGAAGCAATGCTCCAAATCAACAATGGAGATCGTATGGGAACTATCAAAATTGGGGCAACCAAGGCCAAGGGAATTGGAACAATGGCAACAAAAATAATCAGAATTGGGGGAACAACAATAACAATTGGGGAGGAAATGGAAACAAGGGGGTTGGAATAATAATAATCAAGGCAACCAGGGGTCGGGCGTCCAAAGGCCCCCGATGTATCAACAACCAAACAATCCGCCTCCATATTCATCTCAAGGGCAAAGTTCTTCAAACAATGAGATGGGGCGAATAGAGAATATGTTCAAACAAATGCTGGAAAGGAATGCTGACTCCGATGCCCAAATAGCCTCCTAAACTACCTTTATTCGCAACTTGGAAGTACAACTGGGTCAAATTTCTCAAGAATTGAATACTTGTCCTAAGGGGGCACTACCAAGTGATACGATAGTAAACCCGAAGGGAGGGAACCATACAGGCCATGCTATGGTAGTGACCACAAGAAGCGGTAGAGGTGGAGATGCAAGTACTTCTGATCCAAAGAAGATTGTGAATGAAGATATTGTATTGCAAGAATATGATGAGGTTTAAGCCAATGATGAGAATGTGAATGATGAAGTGAGGATGGATAGCAATGACAACATGGAGGTGACTCAAAATGATGTGAACCCGTCTATGGAACACGTGATAGACATACTGAAAACGGTAGTGCCTAAAGCCAAGGCCCCTTTGCCAAGGCCTCCTCCACCGTATCCTCAAAGGCTTGCAAAGCAAAATAATGAAAACCAATTCAAGAAGTTTATTGAGATGATGAAAAGTTTGTCAATCAATGTGCCCTTGGTGGAAGCTCTCGAACAAATGCCGGGATATGCCAAGTTCATGAAGGACTTGGTAACTAAGAAGAGATCTATGAATTGTGAGACCATCAAAATGACTCATCAAGTTAGTGCCATTGTGCACTCGATGGCTCCAAAGCTTGAAGATTCCGGTGCCTTTACAATTCCATGCACCATTGGTAGAGCCGATTTTGCAAAAGCTTGCGTGATCTGGGAGCAAGTATTAATTTGATGCCATATTTTGCGTTCAAGACACTAGGTATTGGGAAGCCAAGAGCTACTTCCATGAGATTACAAATGGCGGATCGGACAATGAAAAGGCTGCTTGGTATTATTGATGATGTTTTAGTCCGGGTCGACAAGTTTATTTTGCCTGCTGATTTTGTGATTCTCGATTGCGAAGTCGACTATGAGGTACCCATAATATTAGGGAGACCTTTCCTAGCAACATGGAAGGCATTGGTGGATGTGGAAGCATGGGAGCTCACCTTCCAAATGGGCGATGAAAAAGTTGTATTCCACGTGTGCAAATCAATGAGGCAACCAAATAGCAATGAAGTTTGCTCTTTAGTGGATCTTGTGATGGAGGTGATAGTTGATGACACAAGTTCCATGATCAATGTGGAAGACCCTTTGGAAGTTGTATTGCTAAACCGTGAGGATGATGAAAAGGAAGGCTTGGTTGAATATGCAAAAACGTTGCAAGGAATGAGATCCTACTCATATGGGCCACGTAAACTTTCATTGGACTTGGAAAACCGGAAGACTCCACCAACAAAGCCCTCAATCGAGGAGCCACCAACATTGGAGTTGAAACCTTTTCCTTCACACCTCAGGTATGAATTCTTAGGCCCTTCTTCCACATTACCTGTTATGCTATCTGCTTGCCTAACTAACGTGTGGGTAGACTCCACCATTACGGTGCTTCAAAGAAGTAAAAAGGCAATTGGATGGACATTGGCTGACATTCGAGGTATAAGCCCTGCCTTTTGCATGCACAAAATTATACTAGTGAATGATGCCAACCCCTCCATAGAACATCAAAGGAGGTTGAACGAGGCTATGCAAGAGGTCATCAAGAAGGACATTGTCAAGTGGTATGATGTAGGGGTTGTGTACCCTATTTCGGATAGCTCATGGACTTCACTGGTACAATGTGTGCTGAAGAAGGGGGGTATGACTGTGGTCACAAATGAGAAAAATGAGGTGATCCCCCCTCTGTGGAACATCAAAGGAGGTTTAACGAGGCTATGTAAGAGGTCGTCAAGAAGGAAATTTTGAAGTGGCTTGATGCAGGGGTTGTGTACCCTATTTCGGATAGCTCATGGACTTCACTGGTACAATGTGTGCTGAAGAAGGGGGGTATGACTGTGGTCACAAATGAGAAAAATGAGTTGATCCCCACTCGTACTGTCACCATATGGAGGGTATGTATGGACTACAGAAAGCTGAACAAAGTGACCCGCAAATACCACTTTCCATTGCCCTTTCTTGATCAAATGTTGGACAGACTTGCCGGGCGTGCCTTCTATTGCTTTTTGGATGGGTACTCAGGATACAACCAGATTCTCATTGCATCGGAGGACCAAGAGAAAACCACCTTCACATGTCCATATGGCACATTTGCATTCTCACGGATGCCGTTTGGTTTGTGTAATACACCGGCTACCTTTCAGTGGTGTATGATGGCAATATTTACGGATATGGTGGAGGACGTCCTCGAAGTGTTCATGGATGATTTTAGTGTTGGGGGGGACTCATTTGAAGAATGCTTGGATAATCTTGACAAAGTGTTGGCCCGATGTGAAGAGACCAACCTAGTGCTTAATTGGGAAAAATGCCACTTTATGGTTGAGGAGGGCATTTTCCTCGGCCATAAGATCTCAAAGGACGGTATTGAAGTGGAAAAAGCAAAGATTGAAGTTATTTCAAAACTCCCTCCTCCTACTTCCGTCAAGGGAGTTAGGAGCTTTCTTGGGCACGCGAGGTTCTACCGAAGGTTCATTAAGGATTTCTCAAAAGTGGTGAACCCCTTGTGCAAGCTGCTAGAAAAGGATGCAAAGTTTGTGTTCAATGAAGATTGCATGAAAGCTTTTGAGCTTCTCAATTGTAAATTGAAAACCACTCCCATTATCACCGCACCCAATTGGAACTTACCATTTGAGCTCATGTGCGATGCTAGTGACGTTGCTGTAGGAGCAGTTTTGGGGCACAGGGTCAACAAGATATTTCATCCGGTCTATTATGCAAGAAAAATGATGAATGACACCCAAGTCAATTATACGGTGATCGAGAAAGAGTTATTAGCCATTGTCTTCGCCATGGAAAATTTCAGGCCATATCTCATGGGTGCAAAAGCGATTGTGCACACCGATCACGCGGCACTCCGTTACTTGATGACCAAGAAGGACTTGAAGGCTAGGTTGATGAGATGGGTTCTTTTGCTTCAAGAGTTTGACCTTGAAATCATTGATAGTAAAGGAAGTGATAATCAAGTGGCGGACCACTTGTCCAGCTTCGAAGAGGAGGGAAGGCCCCACAATGGCCTCGAAATCAATGATTCTTTCCCGGATGAACAACTCCTCTCCGTGTCTTTGAATGGTATGTCTTGGTTCGCCGATATGGCTAACTTTCTTGTGACCGTCATTGTCCCAAGTGAGCTCTCTTCTAACCAAAGGAAGAAACTCAAATGGGACAACTTGGATTATTATTGGGATGAGCCCTATCTTTTCAAGATTTGCAATGATGGTGTGATCCGGAGATGTGTCCCGGAAGAGGAGCAAATGAATATTCTTGATGCTTGCCATTCCTCGCCCTACGGTGGTCATCATGGTGGGGCGAGAACTGCTTCAAAGGTTCTTAGCTATGGATTTTAATGGCCTACACTATATAAAGATGCAAGTGAGCTTGTTAAGAGGTGTGATGAATGCCAAAGAGCTGGTGGAATTTCCAAGAAGGATGAAATGCCTCTCACCACTATTCTTGAAATCGATATTTTTGACGTGTGGGGGATAGACTTCATGGGGCCATTTGTGAGTTTCTGTGGTAACACTTATATTCTGGTTGCTGTTGATTATGTTTCCAAGTGGGTTGAAACTGTAGCTTTGCCCAACAATGAGGCACGGAGTGTGGTGGCGTTCCTAAAGAAAAATATCTTCACACGGTTTGGCACCCCTCGGGCAATCATCAGTGATGGGGGTTCTCATTTATGCAATAAGGCTTTCGACACTTTGCTTTCCAAGTATGGTACCAATCATAAGGTGTCAACCCCTTATCATCCCCAGGATAGTGGACAAGTTGAGGTCTCCAATAAGGATATAAAGAGCATATTATAAAAAACTGTCAGTGCAAACCGGATGAATTGGTCAAAGAAACTTGACGATGCTTTGTGGGCTTATAGAACTGCGTACAAGACTCTAATTGGTATGTCTCCGTACCAGTTGGTATTTAGGAAAGCATGCCATCTTCCGGTTGAGTTAGAGCACAAGGCCATGTGGGCGCTCAAGAAGTTAAACCTTGAATGGGATGTAGCAGCCAACCTCCGGGTAGAGCAACTCAATGAACTTGATGAATTCCGGTTTCATGCTTATTCCAGCTCGTCCTTGTATAAGGACAAGATAAAGTACTTACATGACAAATATGCCCGGAACAAAGAATTCAAGGAGGGTGACTTGGTTCTTCTATTCAACTCCCGGTTACGACTGTTTCCGGGAAAGCTGAAGTCAAAATGGAGTGGCCCCTTTGAGGTGGTGCACATGACTCCATTTGGTGCTCTTGACTTGAAAAACAAAAATGGTGAAATATTCAGAGTTAATGGGCACCGAGTGAAGCATTACCTCGTCAAGTTTGATGACAGCCATGTGGTAGCCTTGATCAATTTCCAATGATGTTGGTAAAATGCGTCGTGCCACGACGTTAAATCAGGCGCTTCTTGGGAGGCAACCCATGTGTTTTCTTTCTTCTTCGATTTCCTTCTTAGATCAGGCTTTATTTTGAACTAACTGGTTGTGAGCTTTGTGTAGGAATTGTTTATGCAGTACAGGACTGTTGCTGGAAAAATTTGCCTAAGAGTAGGGAATTACGCGTACCGCGCTCAAAATTTTGCGGTCAGCGAGAGCTTTTCGCGAGGGCGTATATTGTCAGCGGGCGCAAATTTGCAAAGTCCAGAATATCAACTCTCTGAAGTTGTATTTGCGTCCGTGTTCATAATTTCGCGGTCCGCATTGATATTACGCGGCCGCGCCCGTTATTCCGCTCTCAGCGGACCTGTTTCAGAAAAGTTTCTTCTAAAGGTAAAAAGCGCGGACGCGGTGGAATTACGCGGACCGCGCTCAGGTGACCTCTGGGGTTGGTATAAATAGGAAGTCCTTAGGTCTTTTACACTTTTTCGAACCCACGCTCTTAGCGAAATAGGCCAATGTTCATCTTCCACTTCTTGAAATTTCAATTTCATATCTCATTAGTCAAGAAGCTATTTCCTACTACAAATCCACATCTGGTATGCTCAAATCTTTACATTAATTTCATCTTTTGATTTTCTTTTCTTCTACTCTTAATTTTTCTTTTAGGTTAGGGTTTAATACATGCCAAAATCTCAAGATCATGCTTAATTCATGCTTATATATCCATGTGGGTAATTGTTTTCCATGCCTAATAGGGGATAGGGTTATTAACTATGCATGTTAATTGCATTAATTTTTGCACTTAGTGAAAGCCCTAGGTTTCAAATGTGCCAGAGCCAGTGTTGTTTGAACTTCGCGGACTGCGGTCCATTTTTATGCGGTCCGCATTCTCTAATTTGTGAGAAGCTGAGTACGGTTGCATGTTCGCGAACGCGGTGATTTTTCTGCGGTCCGCGTTTGAACTTATGCGGCCGCATCCAAAAATTCGCGGTCCGTGCTCATGAGTTACAGAGAGTTTGGAAATTGCTTCCGCGACCGCGTCCAGTTTTATGCTGTCCGCGTTTGATCTTTCGCGGGTGCATCCCGAATTACGCTGTTAGCGGAAACCAATGTTCAGAGAGTTGGTAGTCTGATCCCAACTCATTCGTGGCCGCGCTCATTTTTATGCGGACCGCGCTGACCTTTCCGCGGCCGCACCCTTTTTCTTGTTGTCAGCAGAATCCAATGTTCAGAGAGTTGGTAGTCTGATCCCAACTCATTCGCGGCCGCGATCATTTTTATGCGGACCGCGCTGACCTTTCCGCGGCCGCGCCTTTTTTTGCTGTTAGCAAAATCCAATGTTCAGAGAGTTGTTAGTCTGATCCCAACTTTTTCGCGGACCGCGCTCATTTTTATGCGGACCGCGCTGACCCTTTCGCGGCCGCGCCTCTTTTACGCTGTCAGCGGAACCCTATTTTGAGAAACACTTTGATCATTTCATCTGTTGTCCTCTGCCATTTCATTGAACCACAATACTAATGATCTTTCACTAAATGTGTGTGTAGATAATGGTGCGATCTCGTAGTGGTCTCGACAAATCCAAAGGGAGGGGAGATTCCTCCCGCGGCCGAGGCAAAGGGAAGCAGATTGCATCCATAGCACCTCAGAAGACTATTGGCAAAAAAGCACCACTTGTGAGACCTCAGGCTGACTCCTCGGACATTAGTGAATACCTCCCTTCCCGGGAGATTTCCGAGGGAGAATCTGAACAACAACCCGAGGTGCAATCTCAACCTTTCCATCTCATCGATCAACACACCTCCGCATCTGAGTCGGATGATAGCTCAGAAGGAGATAGTGAGACTTCAGCACCTCCTCCCCCACCTGCTGCAACTCCGGCCTCAACAGCTACTCCTATTGNTGTGAGTGAGAAGGCCTACCACAAATTTCGGGAATGGTGGCCACAAAGGACGCTCACCCTTAAGCGTCATTTCATAGAAAGAGACCTTCTCCCTCACAACCCGAATGTAAAGAGACAATTTTATGAAAGAGTGGAATGGAAATTCTTCACTAGCAAGTTGCCGGAAGCAAATGAGTACCTAGTCAAGGAATTTTATGCCAATGTTTCCCACATCAAAAAGGGCACCCATGTGACTAAGGTACGAAACAAGAAGATCCGGTTCGATGGCAAAACTTTGAATAAATATGCCGGGTTTGATGATGTATACGCTGCTCTATACATACAGAAGTTGGTATTAGATGAAGCAGCCCATCCATGGTTAGCAGAGGTGATAGCCATACCAGGGACAACACCGCCCTGGATTACACCGGGACTCTGAATTGCCAGAAACACCCTTAGCTTTAAAGAAAAAGGGTAGTGCACCTTCGTTTGCAGCCGCCTTGATCCGTGCCAGTATGACAGTGACATTCCACTTTCCCGAGCGATCCTCATAGCGTCGATCATGGCAGGGTACCCGATAAATGTGGGGAACCTCATGGCCCAGAACATATCCAAGGCAACCGGGAAGGAAAAATGATCTTACCCTTACCCCAATTTCATCACTATGTACCTAGAGGACCAGCGGGTTGAGGGGAGACACTTTGACACGAAGGTGAAGCCGAAAAGGCCCTTCTCCTAGTACAACCTTTAGGGTCCAGACAACCCCAAGTCCAAGGGATAATCCACCACCTCCACTGGCCAGTCTGAAGAGTCAGGGGTAGTGGCCACTGGGTCCGTGCCTTCTATAGCCGAGGAATCATCTGCTGCCATGCCACATCCATCCTCTGGGCTATCCACTTCTATCCCACCATCAGTGCCTTCTTCATCAGCTTACCCTCAGACTGCACTGAGGGTAAATCAGACTTTGGCCGGCATCAACAACTGGATGCAAGTAGCTAAATCAAAGCTATCTGCCTTATCCAGTGCAGCAGCAGCTCAGGCAGTTCCAGCATAACTCTGGATGCCTCCATCAGTGGAGGAATCATTAAAGAGTATTCTTGAAATTCAAAAAAAGATTCTGGAGTCTCTGGGTGCGTATGAAAAGGTTATCAAAGAGCTGGGTAAACAGGTGAGGAAAGTGAAGAAGGGTCAAGAAGAGTTGAAGAAGGAGGTGGCGAAGCTCACTTCCGCCTGCGATATTCCTCTAGATCTCTTTATGGGAGAGGCTTCCCATGCAGCACAGACAGCTCAACCAACACAGGTACCAGAGCAGGAGGCTGACAGAGAGTCGGTGAGGAGAGTGGTAATACCCCAGACGGAGGACTTGGAGATTGAGCTGGTGGACCCCGAGGGAGGTGATGAGTCTGGCCAGCCACAGGACCCCACCAGTGAACCCATGCAGACAGAGGCCACATAGGGAGTTCTCTTTACTCTCTATCCCTCCCCTATTCTATTTTTTCTTTTAGCATTGAGGAAAATGCTAATTTTTATTTGGGGGGTGGCCTTATTTTGATATGATGATTTTGATGATTGGTCTGTAATAACTTTGATACTATTTTTCTTTATTCTCTACTTATTGTACTTTCATTTTCGTACTTTTCACTTTTGGTATGTATATAAAATTACCATTCCATGTATATATTCTTCCCCATTTTTTGTATATTCGTTTCAATCCCCTATTGTACATATTCAGTTTACTTTACGTATTTTACTTTATAACTTCTTTTGTAATTATCCTTAATAGCTTAGCTTCTTATTTCATTTAGTAGTTTCTTTTTGAATTTGTAGCTTCTTTTTTACAATTTTTCGTGATCAATAAGCCTTTGATTTTCTTAATGCCACGGTTCTTTCCAAAGGTGGAATTTGTGTGAAACAGGTGGCTCTTCCCAACGATGGATGGCGTGACAACCTTCTTAAGGGATTGAGTCTATTTTTCTTTCTATTTTGATATATAGTAGTAATGAATAAAAGTGTCTCAAGCAGGCTTCACTTGGTACCAACACATTTACCTTCGACCTCATGGTTAGAGACACGTTGGTTGAAGAGATTAGCTCTAGTCGTGACCTTTAGACTCTTGAGTTGACTAAAAATATCATCAAGTGGTTTTTGTGAGCCATTTGTGATCTTCAATCTTAGCTAAGGTTGTTGTGGGCCCTCGACTCTATT